TCAAAAATAGGTGAGTCATATCACTAAATATCGATCACATCAAGTAATTTAGAGCCAGAAAGAGCATTCCTATCAAAAAGCAGCTGCTGCAACCAGACTTTTATATATCCTTTATTTATCCAGGTAAAAAGTGTCATTGACATTAAAAATGTGTTTTTCAAGAGAGATCTAGCCGAGGAGGCAGCAGAAACTGTAACAAATATAACATCACAGTTCTAAAAACTTACTGGAAGTGAACAAGAAGGGCTGGATTGATGACAATATTGGCACAAATATGCAGAGTCATAAAATACTTCAAAAACAAGTCATTTCCTTGTTTTACGTATAAATCCTTCATAAATCCTGTTCACTACAGTCTATTTACTAAAATAAGCGACGATATTAGACGTTAAAAAAAACAAACAAAAAAAAAACACAGAAAGACATTGGAAATCACTTTTTGGCACAACATCAGTGTCCTGCATAACTACTGGTATGTGTGCTTGTGCCCTGATGTTTCATGTGTGGTGCCAGCTAATAACAAAAACAGTTCCTGAGGGTCCTCGCTCTCTGTTGTTTGTGTGTTTAGATGTGTGACTGCACAAAGGCACTTATTTTGAACTGTCAGTCATGCAAAACTGTTTTTTCTGGATCCAAGAATAAAAAAAGTGAGCAGAAAAAGTTGCATTTAAGCCAAAATCAGCTCCCTTAGATGTGATTGTAACATATTTCTCTCTCTCTTTCAGATCACTGAGGTCACAGTATGATGCACAAGACTCCTTCACCTCCTAATACAATATTTAATTTTAAATGTTTATATTATGTTCATATTTAATGTTCTTGGGTTACTGAACTTTCTACATGGCACTGTTGGAACATTCAGTTATAGACAAGTGCGAAATTGCATTGCCTACCTCCTGTATACTGTTATTTTGATGCAAATACATTTTTAATGATTAGATTACTTTTTGTTTCTGGTGTTTTTGCTTTTTTTTTTAAAATTAAAATAATGCAAAAACACATCACAACACTTACTTTCAGTTTTACTTTACACTGTGTTTCACGTGATATTCATAGCAAACAACACCAGTTACTTAGCTGATATGACAGAGGCACGGAGCAGGGAGGTCCAGAGTAACCCTATCAGTTATTTGCACATGTTTCTAAGAGGGTGTGTGCGTACTTTTCCACATGCATTGCCTAAACACACAGTTTAAAACTGACAACTGTCACACTTGTGTCTGACAGCAGCTCCCTGTAATAATTTTCAAGGACTAATGTTGTATTAAAGTCTGTTGTTTTTCCAGAAGATGCTTGCTTCCTTCTTTGTGGTCATTCTGGGTAAGCAACACAAAGGGAACCACAGTAAACTTAATATTTCGCAATGTTAAAATCTTCCAATCTCTTTAGTTTCTTTCTCGTTTTTTCATCCCTGCAGGGTTGTGCTGCTGCTTTAAGGAAAGCAGTAAGTGAGCGTTACTGTTTGTATGTGTGTATTTTAATTGTGTTGTTGTTGATTCTTTTTGTGATATTTTCATTGTCTTTCCTTCTATTCTTTATAGGTCAGTTTTTTCTGGGGCATCCACAACTGTATGGCCCCAATGAGGCTTTGGTGAAAACGTATGTAGAGTTTCAATGTGAAGTGCCGAACCACCCGATAAATCACGAAATCCTGCTGCAGATATTTAAGTGGGTACATTCAATTTAACCACTGTGGTGAGACACGTTACATTAAATGATGATATTTTTCTAATTACTACCCTTTTTACAGGGAGGATGACCCCAACAAGGCATTGGGTGAATACACTTCACTGGAAGGGGAGGCCGCAAACATTCCCATGGTTATCAAAAAGCGTTATGACGGCTATCTGAAGTGTGTGGCTAGCGTACAAAACCGCTCCATCTCTCATATTAATTCCACATCCAGCAACCTACACTATTTAAAGGTTATCGGTGAGTCCCTTTATTTATATGCATATAAACAGTTGCTGACTATCACTCTGGGTTGTCTTTATTATCTTTTAATTATTTTTTTAATAAAACTGTTTCATTGTGTTTCACCAGTGCTTTGGATATAAAAAAAAAAACATAACTGCTTTTGTTTTTGAAGTTGGGGGCTGAAGTTTGGGGAAACAGTAGTCAGTATCAATAAGCATTACTGTTGTTCAGAAAGTGCACCATGATCTCAGCCTGTTCTTGTGTCTGTCCTGCAGAGCCGGTGAAAGGTGCACAGATCATCAATTCTGGTCCAGATGACTTCTTTGAGGGAGAAACACTTCAGCTAATCTGTCAACTTAGCGCTGGAAATTATATCTCCTACAAATGGCTGCACAATGATCAGCTTGTATCGCCGTCTTCCCTCCGTCGTATTTATGACAACCAGCTCACGATCTACAGGTTAGTGACAATCAAATGAAGCAATCCAGCAGGTGCATGTTACTAATAATCAACAGTCCACTTACATTTGAGCTTCTGACAGCGTAGGATTATCTAAAAAAACACGTGCTGCAAATCAAACGCACTTGATTACCTGATCATCACCAAGTGCAACCAAGTTTAAGTTTAGTGAAATACAAACACAGCCAACAGCTCATACTTACTGTCAAGCATGATGGAGAGCTGATGATTTGGGCTGGTTTTGCAACAACAGATGTTTTCAGTCATTGAGTTGTTCATGAACACCTCTAAGTATTGCACAGTCAAATGTGAGGCCATCTGTCCAACAGCTAAAGCTTTGCCCAAACTGGGTCATGTAATGATTCCAAGCATACATACAAATCTACAACAGAATGACTGAAAAAGAAAAGAATCAAGGTGCTGCGAATGGACAAAGTCCACACCTCTGATTTAAATGCTGTGGCAGGACTTTAAAAGGGCTGTGCGTAAATGAATACTACTAAAACTCAATTAAATCAAGTAGTATTTTAAAGAAGAATGGGCTAAAATGTCTGATGTTTTACGGTGGCCCTGACAGGCCTGCAACTTAAGAAAACACCAGTAATAAGAAAAACGCTGCAAAAGCACACAAAACACAACCAAAATAGGAAAAACAACAACGGAAACAGGAAAAAAGAAAATAGAAATAGGAAAAAACTGATTTCCAAAAGCACAAGGGAAGTGTTTCTGGGGAGACAATAACCCGACGGACATGTTGCAGGAACCCAAAACATGGTAGGTGTGTTTTATCATGATTCATATAATACTGATGATGGATTTTTAGGCTAATAGTTAGGCTAACACACTTACCTCTCATCTTTTCTTTCCTCACAAAACCGATAGATCCTCCACTTCTCCACAAGTGTCTCCCAGCGCAATTCTTAGCATATTTTGGTTCCTGCAACTGGTCCGTCGGTTTATTGTCTCCCCAGAAACACTTCCCTTGTGCTTTTGGAAATCTGTTTTTTCCTATTTATGTTTTCTTTTTTCCTATCTCCGTTGTGTTTTGTGTGCTTTTGCAGCGTTTTTCTTGTTGCTGGTGTTTTCTTAAGTTGCAGTCCGTTTGGCCTCTCAGGGCCACCATAGATGTTGCTGTTTGTCAGTTTAAACAAGAGAAAACATTCCATAACCATTAAGAATAATCATTTAAGACTGATTAAGAAATCATCAGCTAATTTATAAAACAGTCATTCAGACCAAATGTTTTGACAGATACAAGGTTTTTAATTTACCAGGTAGGCCCACCCTAAAGCATACCTGATATTCTTCTTTTGACTCTAACAGAAACTAACAGGGACCTGAAACTAGTGTGATTAGACCATAAACTTATCAGAAAATGATTTAAGAGTCAATCTCTCATAGACTCTAGAACTCCTCTAGACTTCTTTTACGTAACTGGAGGAGTCGCCCCCTGCTGGCCATATATTGACACCTATTTTTCCTGTACAGT